CTCCTCAAAGAGGACACTTATGATGTGCACAGTGGGCCTGAGGCTGCTATGGCCTTTCTCTTATGCCCCTCACAACCACAGACTCAACTCCATTTTTAAACAAATAGTGAGTACACAGTTAAACAATATTCATTGGAATGGAAACCAAACTATCAGCCAGTGCAGACACCAAATATGTTCAACCAGGGTTCATCATCAAAGGGTTTATTACTTTGTTATAAACTTCTTCATCTGGAAGATGGAGGAAAATACTTATTTTTTTCACCATGTGCTGTTGGGAAGACGACATGGGTAAGATGTTTAGAACAGTGCCATACACACCTTGAATGCTTAATAAACCTTAGTTCTCCTGACAGGGCATGACTATGCTGGTGTGAGGACCATCTGGTTTGATAGACAGTGTATTCTTCAGACCCCAGTACTAATGATGCCTGCAATGGCATTACTCTCCCATATAATCGCTAGTAACCACATTTGGCAATGTGCATTTACATTCAAATTGATTAAAATTACACAGAAATTAAAAACCCAGGTCCTTAATCATAATAGCCACATTTCAAGAGCTTAGTAGTCACATGTAGCTACACCTGCCTATTGGGCAGCACAAGTAAAGGTCATCGGCATTATCACTAAAAACACTACTGTGTAGCCCATTCAATAAATACCCCAGTGTCCAGGCATATTGCAAGATTGTTAGAGGAGGCAGAGAAAGTTTAGCATTCTCGAAATCACATACACACAGCAGTCATATTTCTTTCACAGGAAACCTTAAAATCACAACATAGCTGAAATCAAATAAGCACAGAATTTTAAACTCTAAGATGACTGTGTAGTTTGGGCTTTGAAGTTTCCTATAGTGGGATTAAAGACAACTTTATGGCCTCCACCCTCTAGCATCAGCCAGCCCAAAACTATTAACTTCCCTGTGTCAATGCCACCATTTTCTCATAATCTTATAACTCTGGCTAGATTAGGTGAAGCAAAAAAGAGGACCCTATAAGTCAGGTAAGGTTCATCTTGCTGAAGAAGAACAAAATGCTTCAATATTCTGACTCTCAATACATCACCTGTCATTACTCTAAAAAACTGTCTTCTATTGTACCCAATTTTTCTCTTTCCCAGCCCCAAAGGTAGCTCAGAATTTGTTCTAATCATAGGTCCTCGATATAGAGAGTTCAAAATAGAGGTTAAATCAAGAATGACAAGCATGTCACTACTCCACTATTCTGTACCCACTGCAGACATAGTTAATCAATCCATACCATTCTCCTCTTTGCCTTGCATTTCACATCAGAATCCTTCTCAGCAAGAGGCTCTGGGTAGCATGTATCAAACAGTTGAAATTAGCATTTGAGTTCAGTCACTTGTCATTCCTATGTCAAAGGGTGTTTAGTGAATAAAAAGAATGAGAGAAACAAGAGGAAAGCTAACTGTCCCCTTTCAGCAATGCTACTTTCTTTAAGGCACAATCAAGCTTAGTTTTAATTCTTTTCCTTTTTGAAGAGAAATGGTGGTTAACTGAGCGCTCAGTGGAGCAACAGTGCCACCTAATGGCTGGTTAGGTTAGTTTTGCACTTAACTGTTAGCATTTTAACAGAGAAACTGTCTTCCAAAAATGGGAACTGGGGTTGGCTATTAGCTGCTTAAGCTGCTATTCACCTCTTTTTACTAAATGATAGATACACAAAGGTAGGAGGCATCCTGAGCAATGGAAATGTTCTAAAACAAAACCCTCAGCAGATTTGTAGGATCAAATCCGACAAATCAACAAAAAAGAAAGACTCCAGGAGAATTTACAAATGAACAGGAGGGGTTTCCCCCTCTCCTTTATAAGTGGGTGGAAGGGACAACTGTTGTCAGCACTTCCCATCAACCTCAGGTGAGCATGGTTCTTTTTTTCCTGTTTTCTAATAAATGCTAAATGCACCCTACCAACAACATTAGAATAGGTGTATGTATTGCAGCATTTTATATGCAACGGAGGAGTGTGAAGGCAATGACAAGTATTATAAATAGAACTATTATTTAGTTTAAAGAGAAGCAGAATTTACATTTCCCAAATCGGCGACCACTCAAGCTTTGAGATTCGAGTAAGCAAAATAAATCTGAGCTTTTTGCAGTGTGAAATCGAAGCTCTAACTCTATTAATAGAAGAGGTGAGTAATAGATTTCTCTGGCTGGATGGTGGTGGGTTTTTATTACCCAATCTTCGTGATCTGCATAGCTCACCAAATACTTCCAACAGGAGGTGACAGTGAGTCCCCTGGCACTCAGGATACATGTTGTCAGCACTGGAGTTTTTCTCCCTGGGAGGGACTTATTTGAAGATCTAGAGACATCCCCATAGGACTTAAGCCCAAGGAAAGGAAAAGAATGTTCTTCCTTTTAACTTCCAATCAATCAGAGTGCTCCTAAAGGCTTCTGCTTCCTAAAACACATTGATGGTCTTTAAAAAAAATGCCAACAAATAGAATGAGTTGGTGCTGAGTTGATCTGTTCTTTTGTTAATGTATAAAGAGGTGACACACAAATATGCATTACTGTTAACTAGTGATTACTATGATTAATCACTTCTGAAGGAAAATAAAATTCTCAATCTGGCATCCATTTGTGGTTAAAGGTTCAAAACTTTTTATTCAACCTTTGTCCTCTCATTTCATTTTGTTTTTATTTCAGCGACTTGGACTGTGTTTTGCTGATAAATATGATTCACTGGGAAAAGGCTCTGGCTTTGAAAATAAAATGTATAGGTGAAACAGAGGCACCTGGGAAATATTTCATGCAAAGACCAAAAACATATCCCTAGTGAATTCAATTAGAATTTACAATTAAGTATGTGTTTCTTCATTGAGTGAATAGGTAGAAAGTTCAATGACAAGAAATTCCATGTGTTAGTTTAGTATTTTTTGAATAATCAAAATTCATTCTGAGAATGATGAGATGGTGTGTCAGTGAAACACAGGATGATGGAGGGTGGATTTTAAATGTGTGTGATTTTAGATCAGTTAACATGTACTTGCACTCCAGTCCAGCCACAAATGATTGATGTGAATTTAAGCAAATTATTTAACATCTATGAGCTTCCATTCGGCAATCTTTTAAATGGGAATACCAATAGCACAAAATTTTAGTATCATAAGGACTAATGAGCATTTTCTATGGTGAAAGGACAGAATGAATATTCAAGAGACTGCACATCCTCCAGAGTACCTGGGAGGGCTGGAGATGAGGGTTGAAAGGAAGACTGAGTTTGGAAAGTGACATGTACCTTAGAAGAGTAGCTCCAGCCGGGCGTGGTGGTACATGTCTTACACCTCCAGCCCCCCAAGGACTGGGAGGTCTGAGCTACTGCACTGTGTAGAGTGGGCATCTGCACCCAGCCCAGAACCACCATGGGGCTCCTGGGGGATTTGGGGATGACAGGTTGTCTAAGGAGGTAGGAATTCAACCAGGCTGGACACAGAGAAATGTAGCTCCAACATCATCCTATAGAGTAGCCTCAGAAGAAACCCAGAAACAAAGAAGGAAAATGGCACACTGTGGAGTCCCATACATAAATTTTAATATAATGTCACCTCTTCTGACCATCATAATCCCACATCTTCAAACCTTGGTATTCATGGCTATAACATGGGAATGGCAATTGCTCACCCCAGAAACTACAGGGGATAAACCAAGACACAGATATCTTTTAATACCATGCAAGGCTCTGAGTAAAGACCGAATAAGTGGGCAGCAGACCTCATCTTGCCTGTAGCTGATGTGAGAACATCTATGCTTGTGCCTATCCTCATTTTCACTGAGGGAGACACAGTTGAAGAACTGTTAGGTGATGTAAAGTTAAATAAGCTTCACAGAACATAGTCTGCAGTTCTAGAGTCAGTCCTGAAATTCAGAGTTCTTCTAACCCATTGATTCTTGCTCCCAATGCTGTTATGTTTACCCTACCCAGGTAAAAGACACTGGGAAGACAGTTCTTGCCTTCAAGGAATAGGAATCCTAATGCAGGAGACAAATTCACACATTAAATGTCAAATGAGGGAGACCCACCACCAAGACATAAGGAGGGATTTTTGCACAGTGGTAAAAATGGCAGACTCCAAAGCCAGGCTGCCTGAGTGTCAATTTTGGCTTTAACCTAATGGTACCACTTAGGAGCGGTGTGACCCTGTACAATTACCCAACCCCACTATGCCCTACTTCCACATAGAGCTGTTGTGAATTGAGCTGTTGTGTCAAATAAAGGAGTCAAAATATGTAGGTACCTGGAGTATGTTTAATGCTACTTATTTACTGTTACAACAAATAAAGTCACCTTGGGAGTCAGTCAGGTCTCACAACTTTCCTGATATTAGAAAAATAACATGGTCTACGCATCATATATTGATCAACCATCCTGGTGGATATAGGACAGCACCTATCTTCAAAAATATTAAAATATTGGCATTGAGAAAATTCACAATCATTACCTCAATAAAAACCTATAAAGAGAGTCAGGTCCAGTGAAGTCAGGCTACTCTGATAAATGAGTTAGATCAGGTAAGATTTTATCACACAGGGGAGTTTTTGAAAGCTTTTAGTTTCCAGAGCTTTTTGAATTTTGGCTTTGTGGATCTGCGCAGCTATGAACATTAGAGAGAGATTGGAGAAGCTTCAAAAAAGAACATTTTTCCCCAGGTTCTTAAGAAAGAGTGGAGAAACTGTAAAGAAAGGGAATTCGTGATAGTCTTTCTGGTCAAGGTAGGACAGCCCACAAGACAGGACAAACGGAGAGGTGAGGGTGGGTCAGATCATCTGACTCCCCCCTCTCCCAAATCTGGCAGAGATCAGACAAGTACTATGGGTTTCAATGCAATAATCTTAATTCCTTTGGAAGAGTGGCATGTCTTCAGGTTTAGCATAGCCACTGACAGAGCAGTGGTCTGCACAGGCAGTGATAGATTTGCAGATGTACTTTGTTTGGTGACACAGTGTTTAGTGTTTGGAATGCGCTTACTTGTCATTTATCACAGATGGTCCCATCATGACTATCTTCATCTAGCTGGATTCTCACATTTTTCTCTCTCTGGTCTCTCCTGGCATTGTAATTTTTGATCCTTGTTGGTAGAAAAAGAAAAGAATTTTCTGAAATGAGTCCTGAGATTTCAAAGGATGGATTACATGGTCGAGTTCATACTATGGGGTCTATAGAGATCGGCATGGAGTTGTGTATCCTAAAAGCCAGCTCCCTTGTTTGGCAGTCACTTCCCAAAACGCTGTTCTGTGGAGACATTTTTTTAGGTTGCTGCAGGGTTCAGTGTTACAGGGTGGGGGAAAGAGACCATTCATCAGCTCTATCCTATACAACTTGTTCTTAAAATATAATACAGAGAATATAAGTAACTGATAACCTGATCTTTTCCTGTGGTGTCTACTTGGTAGTAACTAGCCACATGTGGCTTTGGAACACTAGAAATGTGGCCAGTTCAAGCTGAAGTGCAATGTAAATGTAAAGAATACAAAGTATTTCAGAGGTTTTGCAGATAAAATATGTAAAATACTCCATTAATAATTTTTAATATTGATTAGATGCAAAATATTTTATGTATTAAGCTAGAGAAGCTATTAATTTTACCTGTTTTCCTTTTTCCACTTTTTAAATAGAGCTGCTAGAAAACTTGAAATCATACTTTCAAATTTGATTTTGAAATTATCTTATTTGATAATTTCTATGGGACATCACTATTTTATACTATGCATATTGATGATGTAGTGATATTAAAAGAAATTTCTGACCTTTGTTTACATTATTTGTGCATTTTTAATGAATTACAGCCCTCACTAAGTTATTATTTCTGTCAAAAATAAATTTTCTGTTAACTTGGTAAGAAAAAAATGATAATTTCAGCAGAGAATCTCCTGAACATTTATCCCCCTTAATCCCCCAAAGTTCCCTTCCCATCCCACACTAACACAGACCAGAATCACTGTTCTAGAACAGTCTATAAGGCAAATCCACAAGTCTCAGGCACTTTTACATATCATCTATGGCTCCTTTGCAATGCAATGGGAGGCTTGAGAAACTGCATTAAAGAAATTCCCCAATGGCCAAATTATTTACTATCTGGTCTTTTATGGACATTTTACTGACACCTAGAACAATACTTCTAAAACAATAATCCAAATGAGCTTTTCTAATTTAATCCTCCTAACAGATAGTCCAATCAGTTACCAGGTGCAAAAACGACTGCTGGAAAAGTTTGAATCATCACTGTTATAAACCACTAGTACAATCAGAAATAAAACATTACTTTCCAGTTTCTAAAAATCTCCAAATTATCCTATCTTACATAAATCATGCTTTATAAAGTGAGAACTGGAGGGCGGTCTTAAGAGACATGGTGTTTTTCAGACTGAAATGGCAAACAATAAAGGGTTTGAGTTCTGGTCATTTGTTCTACTCAAGAGGTCATAAAACTTTATGTTTGACATGTTTCCAACCCAAGGATGGACATCTGAATTAATGGTACATTCTTATTTTTACCATTTCTTTTCATTGATAACAATTTCTTTTCATTGATGATAAGCATCCTAAATATGTGATGGCTTAGCTAACAGATCTTTTTGCAAGTTTTGATGAGAAACTGAGGATATTTTGATGTTATCTTTGGCATGTCACTTTATTTTCTTATAAATTGATTCTAAATCTCCTAGTTTTTAGGACCCATCAGAGAAATCTTCTGTTTTGTGGTTTATGGGTCACCATACAAGAAATACAAATCTCCTCTATCAAAACTGGCACTGTGTTAGAAAAATAACCTCTGGGGATCAATAAAGCATCGAGTTGCCCTTCAAAGACCTAGTTATCATATTAAAGGTTACAGATGTTCATTTACCAATTTTATTAGCTTTCTTCACCATTTGGTTAAAAAAGGAAAGAAAACAAATTACAATTCTAATTGTGACTCAACTAGTTCCAACTGATTTAAGTATGAACATCTGAGAAACCTGAAAACTCAGTAGCCATTTAAAAGTCTATGGAAACAGTAGATCACAATTCCTTAGAGAAATGGAAAGGTGCTTTATAGTCTAATGCTTCCTTTTGAACTGTATATCACTTTGTCTATTTAGAATTCATTTGAATGCAGAAATCGAGTTAGGTTCCCTTCGTTGGAGACACTCCAAATATTTTGACAGTTATTTGAATACCATATTGACAAGTCCATTATATTTACTGCCCCTAAAACAAATAATTTCCACATATTCTAAGCTTTAAAACTCTTTAGTACAAATTATTAAAAGATTATAAAGTGTTTGTCTGTGCATTTTTAAAGGGAGGGATTTGTGACTTCTTAAAAAAGGAAAATATTTGAATAGCGGCTATAATTTTAGTATATTCACAAATCAGTCATTAAAATGCATAGAGCAGAGTTGTTGCAGCTGTATACAGCTTTTATTATTCAGGCTGCTAAATGGGTGAAACATATATTTTAATTTAATGTATAATGCACAACCCAGAACCATTCCTCCTCCCCTCCCTTTACTAAGGAGAAGCCAACGATCCTTCAACGGGCGAGTGATAATTTTTCCTGGACAACAGCCAGCCGAGATTTATTGAATCAGCCGGCATCTCTTCATAAAGCATTGCAAGAGCTGGCAGAAGTTTAGTCAAAAAACCAGCCCATAATATTTCTACTTTTACCCATTTATTTTCATGGAAGATGTAATTGCTAAGCCTTCAACTCCGGTTACCAACTGAGGTCCAACAGGAGCTTTGGCGCCTATAGAAAATGAAACAAAGGGGGGTCCTTTCATTTCATTACGATGGGGCTAGGGGACTTGGGTTTGGGCAGGGGAACTATTTAAAATCCTGACTAAAGGCAGCTACAAAGAATCACCTCAAGTTATTGATAAAGGGGAAGAAAAGGTGAGTAAGGGGTGTCTATTTCCACTGAAGGCAGAGAGGGTATGTTTGAAAGTTAAGAAATTACACGACATCGCTGTATCCAGAAGGTGCTGTGATTCTTCTATTTTAAACAGGCCAGACTTCTATCTGAAGGGTTTTTGACCTAGTGAATGCATTTGGCTTAACTGTCAAACTTGGTCTCCAGCCCTAGGAATGCATCTTGAGACTCCCTGCAAAATAACAGACCTCCTCTTACATTTTCAGAACAAACAAAATCCTATTTATAGCTTCTCCTAGTTCTATTTTATTTCTTTGCTGAAATGTAAGTATCTTTCAGGTGCAATTTATCCTTTCTTAAGATCTCCAACAAGTTCTTACTGGAGTTCTAAACTCCACTACGGCACAAATCTCAGTAGTGGTATTTAACTAATTTATTGTGTTTAATCAGATACTGAAATATAATTTTCTCAGGTCTTTCCATGTCTAGAGATTTAACTGGTACTATGTCTCTCAGAAAGAACAGTGCTAAACTTCTGTCAGTTATGTTGGCATTTGGATTTATTCAGTTTGTGACCATATCAAGAGGGGACTGAATCTTTTAGGATTATGGATAATTTTACCACAGAGAGGAACAAATTAGGATTGAGAGTTAAAGGGTCTTAGGAAATGCTGAACTTGACTTACTGAATTATGAAGCAAACCATGACACTTAATACTCTGCAAAGCTGAGTGTCACACTCGTCTCTGCGTTTGTCAGACTGCCGCTGCTCAGTAGCAGATACCTACAGTCTTTAGGCCTTTTCTTACCTTCCTGATGTCCAGACTAAACACAAAAGCCAACAGTATCTTCTAATTTTTGATAATTGCTAAATAATCAGTAACACAGCCCCATCTGTTCCATATCGACACTGTTTCTGAAACATCCTCAGTATTTATTTGTTTTTCTCTAAGCCAGTACTTTATAAAAGAGGTCTGAGGTTACCTTATAAGAAAGATAAATCTCATAACTTTAATGAACTGTAAATGGAATTCATGATCATGGATATGTACATACACCACCTCCTGGAGCTGGTTAGATTGAAATTGGACTTAACACAGGACTTGATGCTTCTTGCTGGCAGTACAAGCAAAACATAAGTCATGATCCTCACCACTGCTTCTTTCCTTAACTTCCAAAACATATTTATCCTTGTTACATCTATACAATTGTAGTCTAACTGCCTAATGCATTCAAAAGTTCACAATTTCATCATGGTAACTTTATTATAAAGAAACAAAAAAGAATAGAGTAGGTAAGTATGATTATTTAGCATCTTGATTTACCTTCCTTTATTTATTAGAGAAAGAGCTGGTCCTAATCTTTTCTAAAATCACGGTTAACACCTGTGCTGTTGGTTTTGTTCTACTTCTCTTGCAACCTTATTTAACAATTAACTATTTCTTTTGCATCCCAACATCCACTCAGTTCTTTCTTTCTGTCTATAAGTATTACAAGTATCTCCTATAAGGTAAAACTTTATTCCATTATCAAGAAAGCCTCAATTCATTCTGATTCTAGCCCAATTTTCAAAACTACTACCCTTATCTCTGCTTCTTATGACTATCCAACTTCTTAAATAAATAGCACAGTCTCAAAGTTTCTTACTTTCTTACTCCTCTGGATACTACTGTCCGAAACTCCCTTTTATTTGTCTTAAAACCTTGTCACTGACTGTCAAACTCAAAACTTCTTGCTCTTTTCTTTTCACTCCTCTTCAGGCTCTAGCTCACATCTGAAATCACCCAGAAAACTATGGACCTTCTCAGATGAATACTGTTTTATATCAAGATACTCCGTATATACTCTAAGTCAAATGCTTACACATTGCTTTAGCCATTCAGAACTCGCTCCATGATGAATATTGTTTTGCCTAGAGTATCATTCCTTCATTTGTTCACCTGGCAGATCCCTTTGCTTCACTTTTCTCTGACATTCTCTGTGTGTTGCTAGGGAACTTGATTAGATTAGATGGCAGTTATTTGTTGATATGTCTCTATCCTGATAAAATGAGAGCTTGTCTTATTTCCTTTTGAATCTCTGATAGTTTAGTCAATGTCTAATAAATATTTAGCAAATTACAGTGTTAGTCTAGTCTAATGTGTTTTTGCTACTGTGTACAGGCACATTAATAATATAGATGACTTGGCTCACTCATGCCATTGCTTTAGAAT